CCCCAAAACCCCAAAACCCCAAAACCCCAAAACCCCTATTTGAGTTGTAAATATTGATGTATAAATTTATAGATAAGATTTTTATTATGAATATGACAAGTAGAGTCTTATTGATCCTCTCCTCTTTGCTCTTGCTAAGTGGAACTGCAAGTGCATTTTATGGTAAGTATCGATTTGAATAAGGCTTTCATTATTAAATTAAGAAAGATCTAAATTAATTCGGTTTATAGATGATGCAACGTTTGCGAATATTAATGAAATCGTGACTGAGCACTTTGAGCTGGATATTTTTATTGATTTCACTAGAAATGTGTTTTCAGGCACAAACACTCTTTCAATGAGAAGAACAGCTGATTTCCTCGATGTAGTAACTCTAGACGTCTGGGATTTAAATGTTTCTAAAATAATAGACCAGAATGGGAGAGACTATAAATTTGAGATAGATGATCCCAACCCAAACCTTGGACAAAGATTGATTATTACTATTCCAGAAGAAGTTTCAGAATTGGAGGTCTATAATTTTACCATAAGCTATGAAACTTCTCCAACTGCAGAGGCTATTAGCTGGCTGACTCCTGAGCAAACCTCTGGAAAAGAAATTCCTTACATGTTTACTCAATCTGAATCTATCTTTGCTAGGTCTTTAGCTCCTTTCCAAGACACTCCAAGCATAAAAACTACATACGTTGTTAAAACCACTACCAATCCTGAATTCGTGACTAGAGTTAGCGGGAACATGACCTATGACTACACTGATTGTACATCAAGATACTCCACATTTGAAATGAATATCCCTGTCCAATCCTACTTGTTGGCTATTGCATCAGGTAATCTTGTCGAGCGACGAATTGGGGAGAGAACCTTTGTCATTACTGAACCTGAAGAGATAGAGAAAGTTGAAAACGAATTCGCTCAGTTGGAGGACTTCCTCATCCAAGCTGAAAACATTACTATTCCGTATGAGTGGGGAGAGTACAAATTGTTGATACTTCCACCATCATTCCCATTCGGAGGTATGGAAAATCCTCTTCTAACATTTGCATCCCCTGCCATTGTTCCTGGAGATAAATCATCTGTGGATGTTGCAATCCATGAGATTGCTCACTCATGGTTCGGAAACTTAGTCACAAACAACAATTGGACAAACTTCTGGTTGAATGAAGGCTTCACTGTATTTTTGGAAAGGAGAGCAGTCAGAAATATTTTTGGAGAAGACTATATGAAGGTTACTGCTAAGCTTGAGAATCAGTCTATGTACTATGATATGCTTGATTATGGCCTTGATCATACCTTCTCAAGCCTCTATCCTATCTTCCATGGTGAAAACCCAGACGATGCTTTCAGTGAGATCCCATATGAAAAAGGATTCCAGTTCTTATACTATCTAGAGACGGTGATCGGAGAAGAAAACTTTACAGAGTTCTTAAGAAAATATTTGGCAAAATTTTCTCAAGAAAGTATTGGAACAGTAGATTTTATCAACTATTTTACCTCATTCGTTACTGAAACCTTCTCAGAGAATGAATCCAGAGACATTCTTGAAGAGATCGATTTTGACACCTGGATTTATGCTCCTGGACTTCCTCCTGTAACCCTTGATTTCGAAACAGAAGAATATAATCAATCAATTGAGCTAGCTCAAAACTTCTTGGATGGAACTGTAGACAAAGAAGCAGCGCTAAAATTATACCTAAGCTTTTCTGTCAATCTGAAGGGACTCTTCATCAGTCACTTGATTGATAATATAGAGGAAGTTGATGAAGACAAAGCTAGCTATATTGATAATACCTTACACATCAGTTCCGAAATTAATGGAGAAATTATTTACAGATGGCTTCAAGTTGCAATTAGAAGTGGCCAGTTGGGAAGCCCATTCACTTCTGCAGAGGAATTCGTATCCTCTATTGGAAGACAGAAGTTTGTCATGCCCGTATATATGGCAATGAAAGATATTGACATTGCCAAGGCTAAGGAGATATTTGAAAGACATAGAGATTTCTATCATCCCTTGACCGTTACTGCTATTGAAAAGAAGCTATACAATGAAATCATGATCAGTGAATAAATATAAAATTATTCAACCAAATCTGAGCTTCAAGGGGTTTTGGGGTTTTGGGGTTTTGGGGTTTTGGGG